TAGCCCAGGCATTCGCCGGCGGCAATATAGATCTCGATTTCGATAATGGGGCTGGAGGATTCGTGGGTTCTTTTTTCACTTCGACTACAGGTCTAGTGTTGATCGCGCTGGTCTCAACGTACGGAACCTACATCATAGCGAGCATACTCTATTGCGATCCTTGGCATCTTCTGACATCTTCCTGGGCGTATTTTCTCGGGATGCCTTCGACAATCAATGTTCTTAACGTCTACGCATTCTGCAATTGGCATGATGTTTCATGGGGAACCAAAGGCTCGGATGACACGGCCTCCCTTCCATCCGCCAAGACTAAGAAATCAGAAACGCAGAAAAGCTTCGTTGAAGAGGTTGACAAGCCACAGGCCGATATCGATATCGACTTCGAGTTAACTGTCCGACGCGCCCTTTCACCCTGGCAGGAACCGATGGAGAAAAAGGAGGTGCAGTTGGAGGACTCATACAAAACCTTCCGAACCAATCTGGTGCTACTGTGGACGTTATGCAATGGCTTACTGGCATTGCTGATCAACAACGATAGTGTGAGGAATCTATGCTTGACGGTATGTTCATTCCAACTAAACTTAGGTCACAAAATTTTGCTGACAATGTGCCTCCAGACTACGTCGACGGATCGTACGGCTTGGTATTTCAAGGTTATCCTATGGGCTACGTCGGGCCTATCTGTCTTTAGATTTCTGGGTGCTCTTTGGTTTTTGGGAAAGACGGGGCTATTGTGTTGTTTCTCCCGGCGCTAGCCAACATCTTAAACAGTACTTTATGCTCTATTTTCTGGCCCCAATGATTGGTATTAGTATACCCGCGACGTAGTCCTCTAATATTCACTCTGTGTGGTTGTCTTCGCCCTATTATCCAGCGTAGCAGTAAGACCACTAGATATCCACTTGGCCTCACCAAGAATGCAGAGGAATTTTCACTCAATTTCTTGGCATTCGGGATCCGTGGAACCCGCCCCTATCCAGCTTGACTTTTCAGCACAGCGGAAATCACTCCTTACGATAAATAAAGCAACCTAGTTGGCTGAACAGCGAAAGTTAAACCAAGAAACCGGCTAAGATTAAGAATAGTATTCTTTAATATACTTGTCCCCTATTGGTGAGCCCTATTCGTAGAGTGGCGCAGTGGTGCCCTTCGCCATGTTCCTGGCCTTGGCAACTTATTTTTGTCGCCTTCTTGGCTCGAGCGAGCGCTTCCGCCCGCACTCGTGGCTTGAGATGGCAGTTGGGTCGTAGTTTATAATTGTCACCGGAGAGGGCTTGGATACGATATTTGATAGTGGAACGGTGACTACGTTCATCTCTCACAATGCTGCGGCGCCGTGTGGTGTGTAACCCCTCTTTAAGATTATAATAGACTTCGTCTAACTTATATCCTACAGTGTGATGCATGCCATGCGCGGAAGGTACAAATTAAGATGCCTTTTCCTCTCCACAGCTGAAACGTCTTAGTAACATGGTATCAGGTTCGGTGCGATAAGGAAGACCCATGCGGAAACTGCCAGGATCAAATGACCGCTTGCACTCGAACCCGAGGCATGAAACGGCTTCCCAAGCGAGAGGCCGGTCAAAGGCGAACCAGAGAGATCAGCAGTCCAAGGAATGGGGCTCTTGTTGCTCAGTCATCGATTGCAGGCCGACGCTCAAGACAAGTCTCTGCCGAACTGTCAAGTGAGGGTTTCATGTTCAATGACCTCTCACCTCACATGCACCATGATGTCTTGAATATGCTTGATGACAGATATTCTGCGTTCCTCGGTAGAACTGACATGGATCACGAATTGCCTGGCTGGATGTCCCTCGTTCCTCTCACGGACTCCCAGATGATCAAACCACCCCAATCAGGACAATCGATGGATATAATTCGTGACAGGCACCAGACTCTAGAGTTTGCTCTGTTTATTGCAAGCCAACTGCTAGGTGGCAATAATCAATGTACAGGTATGCTGTTTGAGGAAACTATAAACGAGGACTTGCGCAAATTTCCCTCCATCGAGCTGTTGTATTGGATGCTGAACGGTGTGTATGAAATCCATCTTCTCTCGCCGAATACAGCTCTTACTTATCTTTCAAATTCTCCCAGACATCGGAACCAACAAGTTTGGATCCTACGTCCAGGACTATTTCAGACATATCAGCAAAGAAACCCTCAAGCATATGGGGCTTTCCATTCTGTTGGGCACTGCTACACCACCCGAGGCCTTGCTGTATACTGTCTGTGTCAATTCGGTGGCCTACAAGTTTCTCAATACGATAGCTTCCATTGAGAGAGATGGTCTCTTGGCTCAGGGTCTGCGGAATAGCGCCTTACTCTACCGTGAGACTGCTCAACGATGCTTGAGAAGGATACCCCTCTTCATGGAGTCTTCGCTTTCCTTGCTACAGACTATATTATGTGGAGTAAGCTGCTAGGCCTCCCACATGCATCATCATTTCTAACAGATTGTGACAGATATTTCTATATCAAGGATCAGGTGACGCTAGCACCTGCCAAGAGTTGACCAAAACGGCATGCAGAGTATGCATGGATATCGGTCTTTATCCTGGTGCAATTGACTTGCACGATTCAAGTGAAGAGGAATACTACTGCTTCATGTGGTGCTACATTCTGGACAGGAACTACGCATGGAAACTTGGCAGACCGAGAATGCTTACAGTGGAATCTGATCTGAGGGTGGACCCTGTGACATCGAAAGCTACTATTTCAACGCTCATTCTAATATACTTGAAATTAGCCAAGGTTCAGGACACGATGATACCCTTCCTGGTCAACTGTTCCATAGGAGATAACACAGTCTTCCGGTCTTTCACTAGCATAGGCGCGAAGCTTCTGCGGGACATGGATGCCATCCGCAGGAATATTGATGAGGTAGACCCACTAGCCTTCCTAATATATCCTTCGAATCCCCATAATAACTGACAAACGTGGCATCCAGATCAAAACTCCATCTCCAAGCTGGACTGGCCTAGACGTCAACAGCGAAATAGCAACCCTCAATTTCTCCTACCACTCCATAATGACCAGCATCCTATACCTCCACCAAATCGCCCCGGGACAAGCCACCATAGAGACGTGCCTCACATCAGCACGGCAGGAGCTACAGGCCCTAATAACAATCTGCGAGTCCAGTGACACACAAAAGACGGTTGCTTATCTACATTGGTTGGTTCCCGCCCCTGAACTTGAAACAGCATATACAGAACAGACAGTGCTAATATGCACCAACCAACAGGACCCTCCTATACTACCCCATCACAGCATGCTTTGCACTATTCTGCAACGCCGTAGCAACATGTCATAACGGCGATTTCCAGATCCTTAAGGCTGTAGCGAATTGTCTCGCGCACAGTGGGACAATGAGTCAGCCTATCGCCACGATGCAAAATCTTTTCCAACAGTTTGTGGCACTGTCAAAATGCTTCTTTGCTGATGAGAGCTTGAATTTGGATATCCCGGATGGGAATATGAGTGCATTACAGTCGCAGATGCAGTTGGGATTTCAACCGCTGGACGGTGGAATGCCTGACTACTCTCAGGTTCGGTTACAGTCGCCTTCCGGGTTTGGTTCCTCGTTTACCCATGGAGCTTTACTAGGATCTATTGGCGAGGTTGTTGACAGTGTTGAGCTTTCATCGCCTTTACATACATTACAAGGCCATGATGACCTTTATGACAATTTCCTGATTTCCGACCAACAGGGGTCTGGGTAGGGTCTAATTCTGTACACTTGTGGCTCTTGCAGCGGTATGGTCATTCTGAGGATTGAGTCATTTTTCCAGGGTATTGTATTTATACACATGCTCAATTGATTATTTGTACTAGCGATCTATGGGAGGTTCGTATATCAGGCACCACTGGAGCAACTGGCCTTGGAATAAATCGTATTGGGGCTTATATGGTACACTTTTGGCTGTACCCAAACATCGAACCCTAAGGCTTAGTTTGGATTGGGAACACACATGCATGTTACTAATGAGAATATTTCCTACACTACGTCCATCTTTCAAGAGAAACCACCGCCCAGCAAAGTGACAGTCGATAAGCGATAAACTCTTAGATGTGGTAGGCATGTGTCAATTCGTGCTGGCGGATCATAAAGACCCGATGAAAAGCCCCGAAAAGTAGGTGCCGGGTGTACAAGGACGTACATGCGCAAGTTGACTCTGTCCACTCATAAGGGCGTTCAGGTGCCTTTGCAAGCTGACTTTACTGATCCAGAAAGTAACCAGGAACCTGGCAGTTGAACCTTCTGAATTCCCGGCGCAATCAGGCTCGCAATCGTGATAAATTATTATGGATTGTACTTCTCTTTTTGCCATCAACCCAAACAAGGCTTGTTTCGCTATATTCTGCGGTCCTCCCTTGACCGAGGTATTGATGTGCAGGATTCAGATTTCAATTCTCGAATTATTCCACACCTTATAGTTCTAAAATATGATCACTCAGTCGCTAGTCAGCCGTTCTCCGGTTTCGTCACATCTGGACTCCTATGGTTAGTTGTACCTGACCTCGGATGGAGTGTGTAACGCAGTATCTGTGTGCCACGCTTGAAGTCTATTGCACTTTAAGATTCCAGATTCTAGAATGCGAACAAGTCTCAGATATCTCCGATGTTTGTGAAGATATCCCACTCTCATATTCTAGTGGATATCGATGGTCGTTTGGCTGCTCAACCAGCTTATAATGCTGGATGGACGTTTCGCAAGGTCGAATCGGCTCCCACCAATGATCTGGGTGTGTGGATATATACTGCATCATGCATATGCAAACCCATGTTCTTCTGGTCTGGTTATTATACGGCGACTTTCTTGCCGGGGAGTTAGCAGAACCGGAGTTTTTGCTCCCCAGTACTCGAAACTGGACAGCTAACGTATATGATCAACATTGTATGGTGAGAATATTAGCAATGCACCTGTAGAATATTTTGTGGGTTTCAGCAGATTTCGCCGCCTGGGCTTCCTACGCCTCGAGTACAGCTCAGTCACATGGCCATAAACAATGGAAGCGAGCACGTGGTGGAGGCCTCTGCAATCCACATCGAGGATGTCGGGGAACAACCTCATCCCGAGCAACCTCCCACCACGCCATGGAGTCAGATCGGCGAACTGCCAAGCGGCCCCCTACCACCCATTGCCATTGTGGGCATGGGAATGAGGTTCCCTGGTAACATCCGAACTGCAGAGGAATTTTGGTCGCTGCTAGTGGAGAAAAGAAGCGCCCTAGGCGAAGTCCCTCCAGGCAGGTACCATGGAGACTCGTTCTATCACCCAACCAGACCTCATGAAATCAAAACCAAACATGGGTACTTCTTGCAGGAAGAATATCTTGGCAAGGTTGACAAGGACTTCGTTGGAAAACCTTCAGAAGCTGGAAGCTTGGATCCTCAACAACGACTTCTCCTCGAGGTTGTGTGGGAGTGTATGGAGAATGCCGGCCAGATAGACTGGAGAGGCCGCGACATCGGCTGTTTTGTAGGTAGTTTTGGAGAGGACTGGCTCGAAATTACCAGCAAAGATACTCAGTACATCGACCGGTTCAGAGCCATGGGGACGGGCGACTTTGCGTTTGCCAACCGAATATCATTCGAATTTGACCTCAAAGGCCCGAGGTACGTTGAATCCACTGGTTTTCCCTCAGAGTGTATCCAACTCTACATCTTTCCCTCTCATCTAACTTACCACGCGTGAATAGTATCACATATAAAACGGCATGCTCATCTTCTCTGGTCGCATTACACCAAGCTTGTCAGGCAATATACTCTGGTGACTGCTCGGCGGCTATTGTCGGTGGCAGCAGTATTATATTCTCTCCTACAATGTCTGTAACAATGTCCGATAATCTGGTCCTGGCTCCCGATGGCAGATGCAAAACCTTCGATGCCTCAGCAGACGGATACGGGCGCGGAGAAGGCATCAATGCCATATTCATTAAGCCGTTGGAAGCTGCCATACAGGACGGTGATCCCATCAGGGCAATTGTTCGCTCGACAGCAACCAACAGTGATGGAAAGACTCCGAACATTTCAACACCGGACCGGGAAAGCCAAGAGACTCTTATCCGCAAAGCATACAGCAGGGCGGGGATCAGCGACCCTTGTCAGACAGCATTGTTCGAGTGCCATGGAACGGGAACAACTATAGGTGACGTGACAGAAACTCAGGCTGTGACTAGCATTTTCGGAGAGAAAGGGATATTTATCGGTGCGGTACGTTCTCTTTACATAAGCCTACATTGACTTGCATCAACTAATGTGCGAAAAGGTAAAACCGAACGTTGGCCACATGGAAGGCGCATCTGGCTTGACCAGTGTGATCAAAGCCGTCCTTTCCTTAGAACATAGACAGATTCCCCCAAATATATATTTTGAGACCCCTCACCCACAGAGTAAGTTTCTTGAAATTGAGTATCTATGTCAGTCTCCCAAACTAAACTACCCACGTAGTTCCATTTCAGGAGGGCAAATTAGAGGTACCAATAGACACATTACCATGGCCGGAGGACAAAGAGGCGAGAGTGAGTGTGAACAGCTTTGGGATCGGAGGAGCAAATGCGCATGTAAGTCTCCTTAAACAAGCCCTTACACCCTCTGCGCGACGGTGCTCTGATGTGATACCAGGTTATACTAGACGCGTTTCAACCGCGCGACACAATCTTGGCACCAAGAAAACAACCAAATCAGATACTAGCTTTATCTGCATGGGGAGCAAATGCCCTGAATAAGAAAATTGAACAACTCCGATCATACATCGACCAAAACCCTCATAAGTTGGGAGATATTGCCTTCACGTTTGGTTCTAGGAGGGATCATCTATCTCATCGTGCTTTTGTGGTTACAGACGGCGGTTCAATAAATGCCGATGCGTTTCAAAGGAGACATTTACCCGAGCTGCATGCATCGGAGATGATATTCGCCTTCACCGGCCAAGGTGCACAGTGGTCTGGAATGGCTAGGGGCCTCATTGAAGCATATTCCCAATTCTCCAGCGATTTACAGATAATGGATAATACCCTTAAAGGCGTTCCAAACCCGCCAAAGTGGCTCTTACATGGTATTGTTTTCCCTTTCACTAACCGGAATATGGCGATATGCTAATAGACTAAAGATACTTTGATGAACGGCGACCAAACCACAATGGACCGCGCGGAGTGTTCCCAACCGCTATGCACCGCCATTCAGTTGGCTATGGTCAATCTTCTCGCGTCATGTGATATACACCCATCTAAAGTGATTGGTCATTCTAGTGGGGAGATTGCTGCTGCATATGCATCGGGAGCTATCTCTATGGAGACAGCTATAATTCTAGCATACTACCGTGGTCAAGTATCTTCTCAGTCCGAGGGGAAGGGGGCTATGATGGCAGTCGGTATGAACCCAAAACACGTCAGTTCTTACATTACAGGTGGTGTCGTTGTCGCCTGCTATAATAGCCCTGAAAGTGTAACTTTATCGGGAGACAAGGCATCGCTGGAAGACGTGGCATCAAGAATACGCAGCGACACACCGGACATACTAATGAAAATGCTCCCTGTCCAAGTTGCCTATCACTCTAGTAAGTCGCACTGTCTCGATTCGAGGATCAACATTAACACTTGATAGGCCACATGATGTTCGCAGCAGCCCACTATGAGGAACTAATCCGTCCCTACGTGTCCTGTAGGCCGAAGTTGGCAGCTCAAATGTTTTCGACCATGACTGGGCAAGAAATCCAGAATACAAGCCAGCTGGATGCAGCTTACTGGAGGGCGAACCTGGAATCACCAGTCCAGTTCACTGCTGCCATGGGTGCAGCGCTGAAGTCGGCGTCTGAACTACTGCAGCCCCTTGTCCTAGAGATTGGGCCACACTCAGCACTTTCGGGGCCTATCCGTCAGATCTCCAAGGATGTGGAAACAACGAACACCTACTGTCCGACCTTAGTGCGAGGGGAGGGCTCCACTTCCACCTTTCTGGAAGCAGTGGGTCAGGCGTATCTTCACGGCTCACGGGTTCGTTTTGCGGCCGTCAACGGCTCTGGAACCTGTCTGAACGACCTTTCACCTTATCCCTGGCAATACGACGACTTAGGCTGGTCCGAAAGTCGACCTCCTCGACAGTGGCGTTTGCGCAAATTCCCACATCATGAATTGCTTGGTTCACGCACCTTAGAATCGGGTGACTTAGAGCCTTGTTGGAGAAACATTCTCCGCCTGGATGAGGTTCCATGGATTTGGGACCACAATGTTGGCGGCCAAATAGTGTTTCCTTGTGCTGGCTACATAGCCATGGTGGCCGAGGCCGCCAGACAACTCACCGGTTCGGATACGATCTTATTGCGAAACATACTGATCAGGAATGCCTTGCTTTTGGAGCCGAGTCTTGAATACGAGCTTCTAACAAGCATGCGACCAGTCACAGTAAATGACCTAGTGGAATCCTCATGGTACGACTTCACGGTTAGTTCGTATAATGGTAACTCGTGGAAAAAGCACTGCTCTGGCCAAGTTAAGTCTGGTACACTGAGCGATCCACCGCCGCCGACAAGGGCCGCTGTATTCCCAAGACCTCTCTCGTCGCCTTATTTATATCGACAGCTGAAGAAGGCGGGACTGAAATACGGGACTTCCTTCCAAGGTCTGCATGACATTACAGCTAGCCCTTCATCTTATGAAGCCGCGGCGACTGTTGAAGACGATCCAAGCCTGCATAGTGGTCGCTATCTTATTCATCCTACCGCCATCGACCAGTGCTTGCAATTACACTGTGTTGCGGCATGTCGCGGTATTGCACCAGGGGCTGGTGTAGTTGGTGTTCCCTCGTATATTGGTGAGGTGTACCTAACGCACAGTAGCGAGACCATGTCATTGGTGGTCAGTCCTACATCGTCTGGGCCTATGTCTGGTAGTTTAGGAGGGGATTCCCGCCTGATACGCAGTGATAGCAGCATCGCCCTATTCATGAGGGACGCCCGTTTCTTTGCGCTAGAAAGTGAAGGAGCGATCGTACGTGAAGAGCCTTTTCTCTGCTCTCACATGGACTACAAACCAGAGATCCGTCTCAATCGTACAAAAGGCTCAATCAGGCGCGCTGGTGTGGATACAGGACTAGAAACAACAGCTAGGCTTGCTGTTTTGGCAATTTTAGATTTTGACGTTCTGGTCCGTAATCTAACACCAACCGTGCCTCATATGACAAAGTATCAGCAGTGGATTCAGTCCGAGGCTCTTCGGATAAGAACGGAAGACTATCACAGCATTGAAGAGGCACGGAAATGGGCACTAATGAGCCCTGGCGAACGCCTCAGTCTATGGAAAGGCCTACTTGACAAGGTTCCTGATCTGAGACTGTCGGGGTTCTTTGCGGATGCGCGATACTGTCTTGAATCAGAGATCGAGTCCCTGATGGTCGGGAAACAATCAGCGGCACAGTTACTGGCTCCGCGTGACTCGTGGAAAGACATATATGCCTACGCAGTGGATATTTTCAATTGGGATCGACTTTTCCGCCTCGTCGCACATTCCAGTCCTCAGCTGCGAATCCTCGAAATTGGCGTTGGAACGGGATCCGCCACGGTGGCTGCTCTAAGAGCTCTAGTCGATGCCAGTGGAGAACGATCCTTCGCCAGATATGTTGTGACAGATGTCACTCCTGGATTTCTAATACCCTTGCAGGAGAAATATGGAAATCAATTAGAGTACGCGGTCCTTGATATATCGCTGTCGCCTGCAGAGCAGGGTTTTGAAGTTGGAGGATTCGATCTGGTTATCGCATCCAACGTAATACACGCTACACCGAGTTTGAATAAGACTCTTATAAATGTGAAGACACTACTGAGGCCTGGTGGCTGGTTTGTTCTCCATGAGCTGTCTGCTGGTACGATGAAAGCAACCCTATCCCAAGCATCTGCTAATCTCAGTGGCCAGACGTACCTTATATTGACTGGGTTATGGTATGTATACTCTGTTTCATTCTTTTTACACGGCGCTGGAGTCTGTTCTAAGTGGGAATGATTGACTTCTCCAACAGGGCACTCTCCCTGGATGGTGGTTAGGGGATTCAGACCAGCGTGTCGATCGACCTTATGTCAAGGTAGACCGGTGGAACGACGAACTCATTAAGGCAGGCTTCCTGGAAATGGAAGACTTCGTAGATGACGAAGACTTTCCATTCCAAATGTCTGCCACCATGATAGCAAGGAACGCGCTGTCCAAGCCGTCGATGTCTGTAATCGGCCTTCTCGGAACGCTTCAAACTCAAAAGCACCCATGGGCAGCGGTCATTGAAAAGAAGCTTTCAAATTATGGGCATACTGTGGAATGGTGTATATTCGGCGAAGATGTTGAAAAAAGTGTTGTTATTTCACTTCTTGATCTTGATGGTCCTTTCCTTTACGACTTGTCAGGAGAGTCTTTCTCGAACCTTAGGAGTTATCTCTCTATTGCCCGCCGGACACTCTGGGTCACCCAGCTTTCTCAAAAGACGTGCTCTGATCCTCGCTATGGACTTATACAGGGATTTGGACGTACCATCCGAGCTGAGACCGGCATGGATTTCAGGACCCTTGAGATTGACGATTTTATTGATACTACTGCGGACCTTCTAGTCCGCGTGTTTAACGAGTTTCTCGATGAGAAGGCCAATCCGTCTGGCAGAGATTATGAATACACCATTGAAGACAGCATTGTATATACAACAAGGTGCAACGGCTTATCAAAAGAGAGGCAGCTGGAAGTTGAAGGCAACTGTGGACCCCTCCGCCTCCATCCTGGAGTACGCGGTGTCTTAGATACGCTCCAGTGGGTGGAAGAAGAACGACAGATGAGCCTGAAGCAGAATGAGGTAGAAGTGGAGATGAGGTTTCTTAGCTTGAACTTCAAGGATCTCATGTTCGCCTTGGGCCTACTCATGACCGATCTTCCTCTGGGTCTAGAGGGCAGCGGTGTTGTCCGCAGAGTAGGATCGGAAGTGGTTGACTTGCACGCGGGAGACGCCGTGATCGTCATTCAGCAGGGCACATTCAAGACTCAATTGATCACGCAGGAAACAAATTGCATGCGTATTCCAGACGATATATCGCTCGAGCAGGCCTCTGCGATGCCCTGTGTCTACGCAACGGCGATCTACTCCCTTTTGACGATAGGAAATCTGAACAAAGGACAGGTGAGATAGTCGTCAATGCTCTGAGAAAGGCGGTTTCTAATAGTCTATTGGCAGACTGTGCTCATTCATTCAGCGTGCGGTGGTGTTGGGTTGGCAGCGATCGACATATGCCGCATGGTTGGTGCTGAGGTATGTCTCCTTTCCCCATCAATAGACCAGCCCTCATCGATTTGTAGATCTATGCCACTGTTAGCAGCGAAGAAAAGATCCAGTTCCTCATAAGGAACTTTAATATTTCACGAGATCGAATATTCGATTCTCGAAGTGTCTCATTTTGCAGTGGTGTCCTGGCTGCTACAAACGGACGTGGTGTAGACCTTGTCCTGAACTCACTGGCAGGCGAACTTCTGCATGCATCTTGGGACTGCGTGGCCCCAATGGGCAAGATGGTTGAGATTGGTAAGCGTGACATGCTGGAGCATGGAAAGCTGGAGATGGTGCACTTTGCAAATAACCGCTCGTTCTTTGGTGTTGACTTGAGTGAGATGCTCGATGACTGTCCTGATCTTGTTCGGGGGTATGTTTCGAATCCCGTACTGACAGTAAAAAAAAATCATGGGTACTAATGTTCTACAGTGTACTCAATGAGATGTTTACATACTGTCAAGAAGGGCGTCTGCAGGCGCAATTGTTTCCACGGATGTTCGAGGCAGACGATATCGCAAGTGCATTCCGACATATGCAGACAGGCCGGCACATTGGTAAGATAGTTGTGAAAATGCCAGACGTGCCTCATAGTCTCAAATATAAGCCCATCGAGAAGAGGTACATCTTCTCTCCTACAAGGTCGTACTTGCTTGTCGGTGGATTCGGCGGCATCGGTCGAGTACTAGCGACATGGATGGTCACCAACGGCGCTAGACATCTGGTTATAATGTCACGATCAGCAGGACAATCTGAGTCTGACCAAGCCTACGTCAAGGAGCTAGAGAGCCAGAGCTGCACAGTGGCTGTAGTCCACGGCAGTGTCGAAAACGCTGATAGCGTCGAGCAAGCAGTGTCTGCCAGTGAGCATATACTCGCAGGAGTCGTCAATCTCTCCTTAGTACTACAGGTAAACCTCCCAACTTACCAATCTATCCCGGAAAGCGTGCTGAATCTGCCCAACTGCAAAAGGATGAGCTTTTTGCGAACATGTCGTACGCGCAATGGATCGCACCCCAAGGCCCGAAGATCCGTGGCACATGGAACCTACACAACGTCTGTTCCGGAAAACAGCTCGACTTCTTCGTCCTCTTCAGCTCCGTCGTAGGAACATCCGGCAACCCAGGCCAATCCAACTACGGCGCCGCGAACACCTTCGTCGACGCTTTCGTAACCTACCGCCGCTCGCTAGGCCTTCCAGCAACCCGCGTCACCCTCGGCGCGGTTGAAGAAGTCGGCAACTTCAGTCGCAACACACGCCTAGTCGAGCTCTTCCAAACACAGTCCCGCTTCTCCCTCTCAGAGCAAGAAGTCATCGACGCATTCCGTCTCGCCCTACCACACACCAACACCACCACCGACCCTCCCACCCTCATCTCCTCCCCACTAGACATAATGGTTGGCGTAACCTCCTTCCTCAACCCGGACCAAATGGAAATCAACAACAGCAAAGCCTCATTCGAGCAAGACGTGCGCTTCAACATCCCATCCCTAATGCGAACCAGCAAAGCCGAAGCGCACAATCAAGAAGCCGACGTTCTCCTCCGCCTCTTCGAAGCCATCGCCAACAACCCTTCCTTCCTAAACGACCCGAAATGCGAGAGCACCATTATCCGCGAACTCGGGAAACGCGTCGGCAATTTCTCGGCGCAGGCCGGACTCGACGAGAAGCAGATCGCTAGTTTCCCTATCGACTCGCTCATGGGACTGGAAGTTAAGTATTGGATTCGACGTAGTTTGGATCTGGAGACATCTGTTCTTGAGATCTCGCAGGCGAAGACTGTAGCTGGTGTAGCGGCGCTGGTTATGAAGGGTCTACGGACGAAGTATGGAATTAGTGCTGAGGATGCAGTTGCGGATAGTGGAACTGGCTAGACCGCTCCAACAATGTTAGGCAGGCAGGCAGGCAAGCTGGGTGGGACGATGTGAGGACAAAAGGCGGTGGGTGGGGTGAAGATGGTGTGGTGTGGTGCTTGTGGGGCCACGGGGCAGTTGTTTTCAGAATGTGGGGCCAATTTGCATTATGTTTGTTTTTGTTTGGCTTTGGAAGGGAAAGGGAAGCGCTCACTCAACAAGCACACGGTCGCTGAGTGTGGTCTGATTTCTTTGTTGTCTTATCCCTTACTTGCTTACTTACTTACTCCCTCGTTTGGAATTATTTCGTTTGAAAGAAATGAAATTGCTTTGTTCTACTGGAATGCTTCTCACGTCTCTATTTCGTACAAAAATCCCCTTCTAATCTTGTTGGCGTAGATGCGACCGGTCTATGCATCGGTCAGGTGACTTTCCAGAGTGCGATATGTGTCTCCAACCCAACCAAGGATCACATCAATGTAGACTTTTGTGAAACTTTTGGCAATGTTTACTATGGATGTAGATAGATATGTGGTAGTCATTTGTGTTTACACGTGTAATGTCAATAAAAGAGTAGAGATCTGGTTCAGTACTATCGGACAATCCTTTCCTCAACCCGTTTACATCCTACTATATATCTTCGCCGAGTACTCAGCAGTAGTATCACCGTAAAGATAACCCAACATCATCTGCACAGCGCCCCTTAATTGATCCTCGTTCGCACAAGATGCGAAGACAGTTCGGTCCATCCGCACAATGATATATTTCCCTTGTACTTTATTTCCTAAAAGGAAAGGGTCGTAATCCGAGGGCCTGGGACGATCGCTACACAACGGAGATTTGGCAAATTCGTCTGCGGTAGCGACGCGGAAGATGTTTCTTCCTTTAGATGAGCTCGTTGGGTCAATATCACCGTTTTCCAGAATAAAGGGGATGTCGGTTGCACTGAACTCGCCACGGGACCAATTTTCTATTCCCTCGAGGGCGTGCTTGATAGCTGGGATCTCGGATGAGTCCTGCACGTATACAAATAAGCGGAAGAGAGAGGTGGTATTATCTGAACCGTAAATTGCGTCGTCTGTGAAAAGTATCTCATCGTCCTCTGTTCGACGACAATATATTTGCGGAAGATATAGACCACCGTTTAGATCTGGGATAAAAGGCATTCCGCTGGAATGTTTGTATCGGAATATCGCAGCATTTCTGCGACCGTGCTGTAATTGTCGTCTCCAGCTGGGAAAGAACTGGAGGAACCAGATGTACCAGTCTCGGAAAAAGATCTTCAGCGGATGAGTTTCGCATACCATAACTCCATTCGCGACCGTTGTTGCTAGCGAAAGCTTGAGCTGTTGCTTACGTTCCTCATACCAAGCCTTTAGGACATCATGATGAGATTTCTGGTTAGAGTGGTAGCGACAGAGCATAGCTAGGCGCCAGGAGAGTGATATTGCGTCGCGGAAACCGGAAACGATACCCTGCCCGCCAACTGCAATGACCTTTTATGAGAACACAGGTCGTGCAGGGAGAGGGTTATGACTTACAGGGCGGAAATACGTGAGCTGCATCGCCACACAGTATCACTCGATCCTTCGCCCATATGTTGCAGGTCCGCGACGAAAATGTGAACGGGCGACAGCGGAGTACTTCGATGCAATCTTCAGGAAACTGTACGTCTCCAGCGAGCCTGCGCGGTCAGCTATTGTCTCCGGGCAATAGGAAGATAGACATACTGGTATCGACTGCCCCTGTGTGTGATGTAGGGATAAACAACGCGTCGCATTTCTTCTGGACTAGCCATCACATATCCATCTTCGCCTTTGTGGATGATATACTCGAACCGCCACAGTCTGTCAGCTGGGAGGCCAAAGCGCCCAGCAACAGCTGGTCTGTTCGGATTGCAAAGAAATCGAAACTCAGGCGGAAAGAATAGGTCATACACCTGCTCTGGTGAGTAACCTCGCTTCCACAGTGGGAAGCTGGGATGCGACTGGGGTGTTGGTAAGGTGATTCGCCAGTTCAATGCTACCCAAGTTTCCTCATAGAAGGCTCTATTGTCTTGTCAGCAACGGAAATTCCCAGAAGAGTTGGTTAATTGACTCATGGAATTTCTCTAAGATGACGCCTCGCGGTTCCAGATATTGCTTGCGCGTGTAACCTGTCTTCCCGTCCGCGCCCACGAAGAATCTTGCTCGAAGACTGTGCTCTTCTCCGGCCGCGGTACGGTATGTACAATAAGTCCAGTCTTCGTCTTCTTCCAGACGAATGACAGTCGCGTTGCATCGTAAGGAGCAATGGGATGAAGGCATGCAGTCCCTGATGTGGCTCTCGAGGACGGGTTGTTTATGGCCTATGAAGCCGACATGGCCTGTCGCTCCTGCGATCTTCACATCGTCAGTGGGTACACATTAAAGCGAGTTGATAGAGCCCACTATGTTGTAGTCCATTGCCAGAATCGGAGCTTTGTGCATATCGCAATCGGTCCCACTGACGAAATTGAATCTTCCCATGGCTGATTGATCGGCTTGTTAGTCTCCCGAGTATGGTGGCGGTAGGGAGACTCACAGGTGCCTATCTTGGTATAGATAGAGTCGTACAGACCCAGGCCCTGTAGGTAACGAATTCCATCGTCATCCAAGGCTATCCCACGCGGATCAGTGGTGATTGTCGGCTCCTTCTCCAGTACCACATTGTGGACACCGGCGCGACCGAGATAAGCGGATAACAGGGCGCCCGTAGGACCACATCCACATATAACGACATCAGTCGTTTCCCAGTCTTTCTGATTCATTATGCTTAGGTATTTGTCTGCGTCAGGTCTCACCGTGGATCGAAATAAAGCTGTTGACCAGGGATTGATAAAGCCGTGGCAAGGGGTGGAGGCCGCTTATGGGGGAGGAACAGCCGGCGCCGGCGGGACCTGGCGCTGAAGGTCAACCTGCATGACCTGTTGTTGTACACCGTAGGGGAGGAAGCAATAAGCCACAAATAGGCTGCTTTGGAACCCTTGAGCCATGTTGGCATAAATGTTGATCTCCCGAGATTTCGTTGGGGGGAAGAAGAGAGGATGAGGGGAAAGCCGTAAAGCCGGTGGGACCAGCGGGACGCCGAGGGGGAACCTCAGGCAGCAGCTTGTGCCTGCGTTGATCACGAGTACTCGACTAGTTTCTGAAGACTCCAACCCCCCCAACATCACTAGCAGTGGGTGATAATGGTCCCTCCCCACCCCCAGACACTCCAGCCATGCTTGTCATGCTAGACGTGGGACAACCGATCGATAACGAGTGAAGTTTGGTTCACAATTGGCTGCCAACATGCCCCCAAGTCGACCTCGCAACAGAAAGCAACGGAGCTGTCCTTGGTGCTCTCAGTCCTTCACCAAGGAGGATCATCTTTCGCGCCATATCAGAACCCACACAAAGGAGAGACCATTTCTTTGTTCTGTTTGTGGTAAATCTTTCAGTCGCCAGTATGCTATCATCAGTATTGGGCAATAGCTCTTAGACTGACGATCTAGTGACTCCCTTCTGCGACATGCACGTAATCACGGACAGGATAGTCCCCAGCAGCCCAGGCTTCCGGAGCAGCCAACGCCTGCCCGAAATTCCAAAGTTGATAATACCCTCTGTGCCGCGCCCAGGTTAGATGAAGGCATTGCTTTGGATCCACTGCGAACGCCGCCTATAGTATTAGATACGCCGCCATCGTCATCGTTTGACCATCCAGAACCCGGAAATGTAACTACGTTTCCTTTTTCTTCAAGTGCCGAAAAAGGCGAGTATCTTACGATGCTAGAAGCCAACGGAAATAGCTCGACAGTTGACAAGGCATACGAACGGGTTTCACAGCAGCCGGGGCCGGCAGCCAGCTCTCCCAGTGGCTGTCCAAGTTCCCTAAGTCCACCGGACAATGCATTGAATGAGAACTTACAGTGCCAGGCCTATGATTGGACACTTGAGAGCATGACGCAGATTCCCACTTGGCTCGCTACTGATGACTTTGATATCAATGCATTGAATGCTGCCATTATTGCATCAACCAACCTACCAGCGTTGTTGCAGAACTCGGCAACCATGGGCCCGATAAGCGACCCGCTCCTGCAGACAGGTGAAAGTCTACCAAATGGCACTGAGAAGTTCGAAGACATAGTTTGTCGTCACTGGTTCACGCACCCCGAGGCGCCAGGTACAGAGCATGGATTGCCAGATCGAGAATCACGAGCAAACGTTGATGAGCCATACCGACAAGGTTTGACTGAGCGTCTACAATATCGCGTTCCAACAGATCCCTTGCCATCGACGGACTTCCTAGTATGTGCTTGATGACATATTCCTCTGCGTAACTGACATTTCCAGAATATGTGCATACAAATGTACTTTGCTAAATTCCATCCCATATTTCCCGTAGTCCATGCGCCAACATTCCGACCTTCAACTGCAAACGCTTTGCTGTTGCTTTCAATTTGCTCAATCGGTAGTCTGTTTCTAGGCTCCAGACATGGTAGTTCTTGTGGCACCAGGATTTTTGAAACACTCAACAAAGCTATACTAGCATCCGTAAGTTAGGTTGTTCCTTAGTGAATGGGAAGTGCCTTGTATTAATGTTCCTAGTGGGAAACATACATTGGAAAAGGAGAGCCTGAAGTACGGTCCATGTCTCAGGCGGGTTTGATAGGCCAGGTGTTTGGTTATTTGAGCGGAGTAAGTATGTCAACATCAACCAATGGGTCTTATCGTCTGACATAGAGAAGAAGCGTAGACATCTCCTGCTGATTCAGGTTTTTCATAATACCATAATTACGGTATGCTTGCCCTGTGGTAGACTTTCGAAAATCTAATTTAGCCAGTGGGTCCGGAGAATTCGGGTGCTTCGCAGTCACCAGTCGACATGCGAGATTGAAAGAGAGGAAATCGAACGCGACCCAGAGGGAGCGTGGACTAAATGGGTTGCCAAAGAAGAGCAACGCCGGTTAGACTACCCAAGCATTCACCGAGTCCCGACTGACCGTGTCTAGCCTCATAGCAGGATTGGCCATACTGGATAGCGAGTTTGCGGATTTGTTTCTTTCAGAACCCTACATGAGACGCCCGTCGCTGAGGTCCTCTATCTCTGACGATGAAATCTGGACCGCGCCAACAGCAGCAGACTGGAGTCGTAGTTTAACCCGACAACTAAGTTCCCATGTTCGTTCGGACTCGATGGCCAAACAAAACAGCTTTAAAGAATATTTTGCCCTGGAGGAGATTGCAGGATCTGTATGTGATGCCCGTATGTCTGGTGATTACTCCGCATTACCTTCACGGCAAAGTGTGCTCGAGAAGTTCTACTGCAATAATATTACCCAGAGAAGCTCTTCCGTTGGCCCTGATAACTTCTGCCTGAGAGCGCTGTGGCACGTCACATTTCTCTCCTCCCTGGTGGATTTTGATCGCTTGGAACTTGCAGTTGGGCGTGAGGGGCATGAAGAGTCACAGAGGCACGTGTGCTACGCTCGAGCCTGGGCAAATTCGCGAGATGGCTGCCGGTGCGTTGTCCATGCAGTACTCACCTTCCGCTGCCTGGAGAGTCTGCCTATAGCGAAGGAGCCACCAATCCACGCGCCTCGGTCTCTACATCGAGCTATATTGGTACTCTATTGCTATCTTCAGTTCAAGGATATAGCCGATCACACAGATGTCACACGGAATGCCTTCGACTTTCCAGAACTCAAGCACGCGGGTATTAATTGTGAAAGGATACTCGCGGAGGTCAATGGTCCCGGAATGTGGGGGCCAAAGCCCATGCATTCCAGCATGCTGTGTCATTTTATTGAACTATTGAGACGTTTTGGGCACTGGGGCCTGGCGCGACAACAGGCTGCGATGTGGGAAGTTGTCGTGTATGGACTGTCGCCAAATTAGGATCTGAATGAGACATGAACCCGCTGTTAGCTGGCTCTGGCATCGATGCATGTGAACTTTAGGCTCCTAAAGAAGCTCGCAGGTCTGAGTCGGTCGCTGTTATTGGATTTACGACGAGCCTAAAGTAACCGACAAGGCTGAGCTCTTTATCCCTCACTCCACAACGTCACAATTTGCTAGTCACCAACTTCATTCACGCGAGTGGCAACATGAGGGATTTTGAGACATTAGGAAAGAGCTCTCCTGGCACAACCTTTATGGATCAAAGCCTGGGGTGCATACCGGAATCTTCTGTTGCCGATCTCGTACGGAAGGTGTCTCCTAGCTAGCTTACTGGACCATCATCCGGGGATCCAGGCATCCGGCGTCGTTCGACCTCACCCCTGAGGTCTGTGCATGATGCTGTGTGGCGTTGAGGTCAAAGGCACCACTAGTGGCTAGCCAACACGGCAGCCTACGAATCCAGATCCCGGCTGGTATGGTATGAGATTTGTCTCAAAGGATTAACGAGGGCTTAGCTAAATCTGGGGAGCCAGTCAGCGGGGCGGAAATTGAATTGTTGGATGATTAATTAGCCCGGGGTCTGGTCAGTCGATCGAGCCCGGCATCCGAGTGGTGTGCCGGATCAGACCATCCGGATAGTACCCACCAGGGCTGGAAGTCACCAACAGTACTCAGAGTACATATACTCGATTTTAGAAGCGCTTATTTTTATTGTCAAGCGCGGATGAGGGCATGTACTCAAGCTTGTACACTAACATGGAGTTCAACATGAACTCGACCTTTGCGCCACCGGCGGCGGCAACATATCCCGAACTCTATGCCCTGGCGAGTCAAAACCCGAAACTGTCTTTTCTGGAGAAGGCGTGGTGGACACACTATGCTTACTGGGATAATGACATTATCGCAACTGGTACGCACTTCAATGTATTTTTTCTGTTACCTACTAACTCCGACAGGCATCATCACCTTCCTTGCTCACGAAATCCTCTACTTCGCCCGCTGCATCCCGTGGATAATCGCCGACGCTCTACCGACACTCTTTCATCGTTTCAAGATTCAGGACAAGAAGGCACCCCCATCAGCAAAAGAACAATGGAGTTGTGTGAAATATATCCTTGCTATTCACTTTATTGTGGAAATGCCTATGATAGTCCTGTTCCACCCGATGATGGAGCTCTTTGGCCTCAAATACGCCCTTCCATTTCCGGACCTTAAAACCCTCGCCATTCAAATCACAATCTTCTTCTTCGTCGAAGATACGTATCACTACTGGCTCCACCGTGCCTTCCACTGGGGCCCTCTTTATCGTGCCATCCACCGGGTGCACCATCAATACGCTGCGCCGTTCGGTTTGACGGCGGAGTATGCCAGCCCGTGGGAGACCATGCTTCTTGGCTTGGGCACGATTGGACCCCCTTTGGTTCTTGGCTCCTTCACTGGCGAGGTGCATTTGATGACTGTGCTGGCTTGGGTGGCTCTGCGTCAGTTCCAGGCCATCGACGCGCACTCTGGATACGATTTTCCCTGGAGTCTTAGACGGATCTTCCCGCTGTGGGGAGGATCAGACTGGCATGACGATCACCATCGGTACTTCCGGGGTAATTATTCTAGCTCGTTCAAGCATTGGGATAGTAAGTACCCTTTTATCCTTGTCAGTGTTCTTGACTAACTAGTTGTAGTCTTAATGGGAACGGTTGCCGGTCCCCGAGGGAAGAAGATGCGGCAGGAGTGATGCTTTCAGCATGCGTTTATTGTTATTCGTTGTACAGTAATACATAATTTATAATATAATCTTACCACACAGAGCTTCCCAAGCTGCCGTTGAGAAGATACGATACCTGGCACGGCTGTCGGGCATTCTAATATTGAGATTGTTACTGTGTATAACGTATGCACCTCATCAAAGTGACAAGCATCTACTAGCTCAATCTGTTCGCGACCTATGCGTAGATTTTGGACAAATAGTCTGTAGTAAACCCTACATCGCAGTGTCTGACGCGTCAGGTGTACGATTCAGGCAATGCTCATCGGCTCTTATCTCTAGCTTAGCGTCATCAGACTTACTCCACCTTGACAATATCTACAACACCATTGGTAGCCATAGAAATAAGCACTAGCCAGATTACAAATGGCAATACAGTTAGATATCCTCTACCACTTGACACATGTACTTGATGTACAAACAAACAACCAGGCTCAAGAGTACGGAGCACAACTAATGTATTTATACTATATCGCAGACGAGCCATCTACTATAATTGGAACCAAATTATTTACTACTAAGTATCAGAGTAAATATCTCTACACCCACCACCTTCACCTCATAGATCATCCTTAAAATAAGCACTACCATGGACAAAGCACCACACCGACAATCCTGCAATATCACCACCCGATAAGCATCATCATCGTATCCCAAAGACCACCTGTCTTTATCCAAAACCCTTCCTATACAAACCACTGTGTACCACCACCCACCACCCACATCAAACACGGCAATCACAACATAGTCAAAACATAACCAGATATACAGAACAATCACCATGATCCCCATCTACATAAAACCCACCACAATGCCACCAAAAGAATTCACCCTCCACCCCGCCCACCCCTCCCACTCCCGCACCCTAGCAGAAACCATGATCCTCTCTCGCCTCACAGACCCACACTGGGCCTTCCTCTTCACCCCCTCCACCACTCCATCATCCATCATTTCCTCGACTGAGTCCCGTCTCCCTCATACGCTGAGTACAGCGCGGGATGTCCGGAGGCATGAAGTCGTCACTACCACTACCACAGCCTCTACCCCCGGAACTGGACCCAAGAACGCGGAGCATACTGACGAAGGTAATAAAGAGAGAGTAATCGGCTACGCGCGATGGACTCTCCCTCCCTCTCTCTCCAATCGAGACGATGTATGGCCGTCTGCACAAGTACCCGAGCCATCTGCCCAGGAGAAAGAACAATTCAAAAAGATGTATGATCTCGGAAGCGACGAAAAGGGCAGAGTCAAGGGAATGAAAAGCGATGGGTTACTAGAGTTTCGAGGGAATCCGTTAGAGGAGGTAGAGGAGAGGGTGTTGAGGGGTGTGGTGGGGGGTGGGGAAGTATTAAGTAAGTATGGTTTCTTCTATCTCTATCTCATCATTTTATCCTACTTATTGATGATGATTTTATTTCTATATTGATATATATTTGGAAAAGATGCTAGATTACTAATTTAGTTCTGTGTACAGCTTTGGAATACCTCACCACTCACCCCGACTACTGGAGACAAGGGGTAGGAAGTATGCTTGTGCAGAGTGGACTACGGGTGGCGGATCAATACGGCATCAAGACGTATGTGATGTCTGAGCCGGCGGGGTTGAAGGTGTATTTGAATCATGGGTTCAGGGTTGTGGATGAGATTACGGTGGAGTATGAGCAGTTTGGAGGGACTGAGCCGACGACGCATTATTTTCTGGTGAGGGAGGCGGTGGTTGTTGGGAACTACTAGTAAGTTGGTAAGCTGGGGATGTTGGTGACTACTATCTATTGTATCGTTTGATGGGGTTACTGTTATTGAATGAGGGTGGAGATAATGGTTTGATGAGGGATTCATTGGGGACTACTACGTGATGGACGTATGTATAAGTTATTCTGTGCAGACATACTGGCCTTGTAGCAGCAGAGTTATATTATTACTACTGATACCTCCAAATCCACTACCCACGGCTTAGCATCGGCGATCGTCTAGAACATACTGGCAAGTGGCCACAAATCATCCAGTCTGTCATCCATCGAACAGTAACCCCAGACTCGGCTCGTAGCTAACGCTGTCAGCCGTCAGCTTGACTGACTCCATCTGGAGTGCGACGGATATCTCCGGCCCAGCACTTATCGGACGAGAATGATGTCACAGAGCATTCCAGTCCGCCTTAGTCCAAACTAAGTTTTTCAGTGGCTAGTTTCCAATAAATAGGGAACAACAAGCTTTTCAGCCATACCACAAATACACTATTATTGGAGAACACAGCGGAAGAGCATGTGGCGGCCCGCTGACAGCAATCCCACGGGCTGACCGCTCGGGTGGCTCAGGCTCAGGCTCAGGCTCTAGAAGTTTCGAATCGTGGAATTGGAAGTCCGGAATCTCAGGATGCCGCGGCTGGCTCACCTTCCGTGGCCGGAGAAAGATCGGCACTAGCCCAACGTTTTGTTAACGCCGGCGGGTGTAAGCGCCGGAGATATCGTCGGTCACCGGCGCGTCTAGAAAGCCATTGATGCCATTTTCACGGTCGGAAAGGCGAAAAATTGAGATATGTTAGAATTGTAATCATATACTGAAGATGTATATCAAGATCCTCCAGATAAATGGACGATTCATCGTTGTATTGTTGTGAAGGAAGACCTGTCAGCATCTTATGCTTAACTCCGCTGCACACGAGTGGGCCGTAAGCAGACTGCCGTTAGCGCATCAGGTCCATGGAACCCCATCCCGAAGATTGGAACTCATCACTATGCGATGGGTCCCTTACTAACTGGACCCAATGAAACTCCTCAACCAAATTCCATGCCGTTGCCCCGTGGCAGGAAGCTTCATGCTGAAAAGTCTTCGATTGCGGCGAACTGCGCCAGATGTATGATCGCTGGTAAGCTTTCAGGTACGCTTACCGGCCATTAAGGGGCGTGTAAATCCGATGTCGTAGCCCATTCAGGGTCGACCCAAGATCACTGTCGTATCATCGTATGTCATCGAATGGGCTTCGGACGGAACATGTCTCCACCCTCGTCACGCATGAATCAAAAGTGGACCAGAGTCTGCTGGATTTCTAATCTTGTCCCGTTGTCCTGGTTGCAAGTGATCCGTATATAAAGGCCAGGAGTACCCCTGGGGAATCGACAATCATACTCTGTGGATAATCATAATCTTCATACCCAAACACTCAATCAAAATGGCTGCTTCTGATTACAAGTTCGAGGGCTGGATGGGCCTTGACAAGAACTCCGTCGGCAACATGGTCTGGCAGGAGTTCGAGCCCAAGCCCTGGGAGGAGTCCGATGTTGACATCAAGGTCACCCACTGCGGTATCTGCGGATCCGACTTGCACACTCTCAGAAGCGGTTGGGTATGCATGCTCGTTCACTCCATCCTTTGACTGCAAGCTAACAAGATGTAGGGCCCCACCATGTACCCCTGCTGTGTCGGTCACGAAATCGTCGGTGTCGCTGTTCGCGTTGGCTCCCAGGCCGAGGGTGATATCAAGGTTGGAGACCGTGTTGGTGTTGGAGCTCAGAGCGACTCTTGCCGCGGCCGCAACGGTGACTGCGAGGAGTGCGCCTCTGGTCTTGAGCAGTACTGCCGCCACTCCATGGTTGGCACCTACAATGGCGTCTACCAGAACGGCGGCAAGTCCTATGGCGGTTACTCTCTCTACCACCGCTCTCCCTCTCGTTTCGTCGTCAAGATCCCCGACGCCATCCCCTCCGCCCAGGCTGCGCCCATGCTTTGCGGTGGTATCACCGTGTACTCTCCCCTGAGACACTACGGCTGCGCTCCCGGCAAGCGTGTCGGTATCATTGGTGTTGGTGGTCTTGGTCACTTCGGTATCATGTTCGCCAAGGCCCTTGGCGCCGACAAGGTCGTTGCCATCTCTCGCAAGAACAACAAGAAGGAGGATGCTCTGAAGCTCGGCGCTGATGCCTACATCGCCACCGATGACGATGCCGACTGGGCCAAGAACAACGCCCGCTCCCTCGACCTCATTGTCTCCACCGTCTCTTCCTCCAAGGTATGCACCTTAGCCGCATTTGTATTATTCCACTGAAGCTAACGTATTGCAGATGCCCATGGTGGACTACGCCACTCTGCTCGACCTCGACGGTTGCTTCGTCCAGGTCGGTGCTCCCGAGGACGGTGCCCTTGAGATCCCTGCTTTCGCTTTGATCGGCAAGCGTGCCAAGCTGGGAGGTTCCCTCATCGGAGGCCCCAACGAGATCCGTGAGATGCTTGCCCTGGCTGCCGAGAAGAAGGTCCAGCCCTGGATCGAGGAGCGCTCTATGAAGGACGCCAACAAGGCCGTTGTGGAGATGGACGCTGGCAAGGCTCGCTACCGCTACGTCCTGAGCAACGAGCTGTAAGCAACCATCACTTGTATATAATATAGAGTAATGAGTATATAGACGAACGTGACGCACCTTAGACTATTCTTTCGAACCCTCTGACGATGTAGTCTTTTCCTGCAAGTATAACTGTCTGGCCAATTTGCCACGAGCTATCCTCGAGAATTTGAGTCGTAGATGGTAGCTGAGCTCCGGCGGGACCGATGGAGTACTTGAGCTGCCAACCGGAAGCAGAGTCCCATTCTTCCCTCCTAGCACTGACTTCTTGTCCCGATTTAACGACCGTCGTAGAAGAACCTCTGGGACGAGTATGTATCTGAACCTGGCGCAGAGCCAAGTACGTACCCCAAACCCTCCCAAGGAAAGTCCTCTCCACTTCGGCTTCCTCCCCTTCGTCTAGGGGTTTCTGCTTCGATTCAAGAACCCACGAAACACCCGTATTGTGGCCCTCCGGTCCCTCCCGGAATTTCAACTCACGCCAGACCTCCTCATACTCTGCGATCGGGGAGCCAGGTAGGTCGGCACGAGGCATTTCACCTTTCTCAAGATCATCGCCATTAGGAAGAGCGGAGAATGTACCGCAGTCAACCGCGTCAAACGAGTTCCTAGAGTCGAGTTCATGGGTGAACGACACCCGACCTATAACCGTTAGTCTCTCAACGAACAAAATCAACTGGAAGTGATCATACTGGAGTCCGCATCATCGACAACTCTCTGGCCTGCAATAGCCCAGTCGATATCCCCGGAAGCCTTGTCAACGCGCAGGTCGACGTACCAGCCTGCGACCGACATGACTATCGTGTCGGTATTCTCGAAGGCGGGCTCGGGGACCCAGCGGATGGAAATCCGCGTCGAGAGACGGCTCTGCGAGGGAGGGTTTTCAGCAGCCATTGTATGATTTTTGTTATGAACAGTAGAAAGTAGAGCTTCAGGAGTAAGAGGGTGCAGTTAGTTAACGAGGGAAGAGAATGACACATATGAGGACCTTGGTTGAGTGTGTCGGCTAGACTGAGTAGTTCGACGCTATCGCTGGCTTACCCCGCACGGCGCCGGCCGAGCAGCGCCGAACTCGGCGACACTGCCATATCAGCTCCGCGGCGGAGAGTATTCCAGTTGTTACGTCTAGATAAAGCATCTTAATGCACATACTCGGTAGTTTATGCTATAGAAGTGAAGCAATGATTTCAGGTTACAGAACCTCCGTGTATTTCCTTCCTCATGGATATACAGCCAAAACAGAATATGACGGCAATTCTTCTTCGGTTGACCTTATTTCCCAGCTGACTCAATGAATATACCAAAATCCCCGTAATAATCTCCCGACATATCCAGGCATTCTCAGTCAGAAGTAGTAGTCGTAGTTGGATCCACAAAACTCGTCGAATTCCAATCCGTAGCCATCTGCATTCAACCCTTCGTTAGCACCCCACAAACAACCAAGAATCATTCCAATCAACTCACATTCCAAGCATCAATCCTGAGCAGACTAGTATTAGCCGTCTCGGCCACATTGGTAAGAATACCAATAGCTACTCATCACATTAGCATACCACATTCATTGGAATCCCTTCCTCTCTATACGCTGCAGAACCCCACATACCAACAACATTATTCAACCAGTAATACTTGCGACTACCCGTCTCAAACACCAGTCTCAGATGTAGCTGTCCACTGGGCGACTTCGGCCCAGACGTCTGAAGGAAGATATTCTCTCCATCATCGGTCCGGAAGTTGTATCTGGTGTCTGCGCTGAAGATGCCGGTTTGGGGATCTACTAGGCCCCAGTCGGCGCCGACGTCGAGGATTTTGCCTGTTAAAGGATGTTAGTAACTGATGTGAAGGTATGGGATACGGGATGTAGGCTACCGGATAGATTAGGACCAGTGAAGTTCCCACCCACGATTGGAATTGTACGTCGCACACCGTGAGGCCCGGGAGAGCTCATGAGACTTGATTCGCATTCGACGTAGGCTGTGTATAGAAATGATAGTTCTGGGGGAGATGGTGAGGAGGAAGCTACGGGAATGTTGGGAGAAAATAGAAGAAGGGCCTGGAGGGCTACCGTGGCCCAGTTTGATAGGGAAGATATGTGCATGGTATTGACGAGGCTGTTATTGAGTTATAAATGGATATAATTTAAATTGATCCTGATTGACAGCCATTATGCTGGATTGTTGTCGATAATGTAGCTGGTACTTATAGAAGATGCAGACGGTTGCTTTTTGGAAGCCAAACCTCGGTTCTCTCAGCTCTGTATTTGGTACCAATTACCAATGATACAGTGAACATAAAGTTTATAGTCTTTTCGAAGTAAATGCCGGTGCAAACAGCCGATAATTTAATTCATTGATGGCTACTTCTGACTTCATCTCCTAGCGATCTGCTTACCCCGCATCAAAAGCGGACCGGATAACTCCACCCCTCACGGCTGTCCGTGCCTGCGTTGGGATAAACCCCAATGATGTGGCGATGCCAAATGCATGGACTTCATCTCCTTATGCCTTCTGTAAATTGATCTCATATCTCACGAGGAGTAAAAATAAGCTTGCACTTCTGTCCCTTCGGTCGAGACGAGATGATTTGGTCGTCGATCTCCATTGAGCTAGTCATGTCCGGAGCTACCGTCGTCTGAAACCGAGAATAAACTTCTTGGAGGAGGATCTTCATCTCAACAGTCGCCAGGCTTTCGAGAGTTAGACTTTGATTCACGAATATATTAGAAGAAACTTACTTTCTTCCAGTGCACCCTCTCCCTCCGGTGCTAAAGGCGAAAAACAATCGGTTGCGCTCGTTGATGCCATCTTCCTCCATCCAGCGATCGGGGTTGAACAGATCCGGTTCGGGGAAAACCTTCTCATCCAGCCGATGTACAGTATACGGCTGGCAGCTGACGATGGTGCCCTCGGGGATGAAGGTCCCGTCAATTGTTCTACCACCACTAGGCACATAACGAGGGAATGACATAGGAATTGGCGGCGCACAGCGCAAGGCCTCCTTGATTACAGCATCGAGGTACGGTAATCGATCAATGTGCGTACCTTCTGGTGCTGAGTGAAGCTCCTCATAAAGACGGTCTTGGAATCGAAAGTTGTGCGGTTGCGACAACTCCCACATCAAAAAGCACAAGCCATCGCCTGTTGTGTCGATTCCTGCCGCCATGTGGTCTTTGCATTCTGCTGCGGCTTGTGCCTTGGAAATGGACGAATCCTTGCGCAAGAGACGAGCAAGGAGACTGTACTCGTCTGGGCTTGTCTGGGCCGTGACTCTATGGACGTATGCGTTGGATTTAGGGGCCCGACGGGGTAGTAGCCAAGAAGGGAAGTATGGAGCGAGATGTGGCAGGTAGTAAGGAAGTAGGTTTTCTATATCCGTTAGTAGGTCCTTTATCGCACAGAAAGCAACATACTCTGTAAGCTGTTATGGTATGTCATTTCCTCCATCAGCTCAAAATCATTTTCATTGGTGAGAGACTTCAATCCGCTAGGGCTGAACATGAAGTGTGTTACGCAGTCAAGCGCATAGCAATGTAGATAGACCTATGCAAGTTAGCATGGCCTAGTATGATCTGGATTTCTTACATACATAGACATCCACACTTTTCGCGACAGAAGCACACTTGGATACAAAAGCTTTAGCGCTATCTCGGATCGCTGACACATGATGTTCTCGCAGAATATTGGACATGGCATATCGATCGGCTAATTGTCGCTTTCGCTCACTGTGCTTTGAATGATCAGTCGATGAGGCCTAATTCTACTGATAGTAGCCTACCGTCTGCTTGTCGAGTGTAGAGAACATGGTCCTGAGACAGATTAGTATGTGAAAAACACCAAAGATGTAGGACCTACTTGATCCCAAACTGGCGAAAGAGGTCATATAATTCCGTCTTATCATAGCCACTGCCGCCTGACGCGTAAATCTCTCGAATGGCATCCAAAGATGCAAAGGAGACCTCGTTGGGTGCTATCCGCACAATAGTGCCATACTGTTTGTGCAGCTGATGGATAAATACACGACGGCTAGCCGAAAACTCATGGTACTTGATAACCAGACTTGTCAACTTGGTATACCAAGGGCCAGGGAGTTTAGAAATTGGACTCGACAACCGCTGATGAAGAAAAACAAGAAGAATAACAATAGCAGCACACCAGAGTCCTAACATTGTTCTAGATAAAACTTATTTTTTAGTGAAGTCGGTGCAGTATTCGAAAAGCGTGCTAGTAGAGATATCTATAGACAGAATTGAAGGACGATAAGCCAAGCAGCAGTCAGTGCGCTATCCTGAAAGGGAAACAGCAGGAGATCAAATCACACCAGCGGGATAGATAATCCTCGCACCCTATTGTAGTCATGGATTTGTGCGGCGCTAATTTAGGGAAAACACTAATAGCTCCTGGGTTGCATTATCGTGCGGAGTGGTAGCGATCGGGGGTGGCCAACTGATAAGCGTTCCTGTTGGCTTGGGCCACAATATGGATGGTTATCCAATGGACAGCTGAAAATCCAAGAGAAATCTCGTTGATAATGAGCTATAGAGCTCCCGGTCCAATGAACTACCTAGTCAAGGAAATCTTAATTGAATATCGAGGTTTGTTTTATCAGGAGACATAGTGTTAAGGTTCCCGTTCCCTATTCTCAAAGCGTCTAGACAATCCAGAGGCTGCCGTACACTGATAAGATGGTTTCCATGATCATCGCCCGATTCAAGTCGTTCTCTATCAGAATCATGCTATCCTCACCGGTGGTCTTCGTTTGACGAAAAACGCCAATGTGAAATGCTGCTAAACTATCCATTTCGCTGCAATAACATGGCCTGGCGATGCGAATGATGATGGCCGTCAGCACCAATCGTCCTGCTTTCTCACAACTACATCTGACAAGCGCCAAATGGCTGCTCGTGATCAGGCAGGAAGCAAAGTGCTGACTCTAGAGAAGTTCAAAAGTCAAAGGCGTCAGGGGCATCTGGGGCATGTATGCAAATAAGTATCATTATCTGTTTCTCCTACACGTTAGCAACAATAATTTTGTATGCAAGGATGAAGTCAGTGGGCCAACCTAATGATGTTTGGTTCGGCATCGACTGCAACGTAGAAAATAGCCATCTTCAAAAGCACCTTTGCATACAAGCCGGCCAAGAAACATCATACCGCAATGGCGGCAAGTCGTTGTGTCATGAAGCAGTTTGTGGCCTTGCTCTACACCAGCCTTCATATTACTGATCTTCTTCTGCAGCACCTCGACCTGTGCTTTCAAACTCTCCACTGTTCTGTTCGTTGTTATCAGGCATTCCTGAGTAACCATCAACTGTGGCTGCGTCCACTCATACCTTGCCTTCATGGCCATGATCACGCATCTGCTCAGATCGTCATCGATGAGCTTCTCCAGCACTTCGGTCTGGCCAAAGTCGTCAATATGTTCACTAATAAGTTTAGATAGCTTTTGACGTATCGTTGCATCAGCTTTTTCGAACACTTCCTTGACGAACTCGACGAATCCTTTCGGATTCCAAGCCATTTTAGTCGCGGACTCTATGTGATTTGCTGCCTTGTTCTTCAGGTCTTGCAATTGGCATTCGTCCGCAATATAGTAGACGTAGATATGGGGGCGCAGTCTTTCCGCTGTAGTGGGCTTCTTTGAAGTGTCTGCCGAGATGCTTAGCTCACTCTCTTGAGGTAGTTCTAGTCAATCGTGTGTTAGCAGAGATAAATGACCGAGGATTTTACATGTCCTCGTACCTTTATCAGGAATCGCATAATCTCCGAAGTATAGGAACTCAATCATCAGTTTCACTGTCGCTGTATCATATCCCTCGATCTGAATGACTGCCTCAGCAGCACCCTGCAGGATTATTATCGGCTCCGTATGGCGGAGTAATAGAAGTATCGCCTCACCTCAGACGCGTCTTTGTATTTATGAGCTAGGATCTCAGACTGGGAACAGACGATGGCTTTGTGCACATGGAATTCT